TTGAGGCGGGTGATTTCACACATTTTCCAGTTCTACAGGCACAAGTGTCACAAAAACATGTCTTGTTCTCACCAACCCCCTACTACACCAAAGTCACGGAATTGATAGAGGAGTTTTCATCCCGGTTCGCAGACGTTAAGTTTTTGGAACCAATGCTCGCATTCACAGAGAATCCATTCACTTGCAACGTTCAGACTACTTCATTGTCACTTACGCCAGGCCAATTCGGAGTTGAAAGGGCTGCGTTTGAGAAGCAACTTATCGAATTGCAGCTTAAAGAAAAACACAAGGAGGAGAGTATTCAGTGATGAGCTGTAGCCGGAACGGCGTTCCCGTTGTTAGACATTTTATTACATTTGCGTTCCGGTTGTTGAAATCAAAATTATGTCATAGAAAGTCTAGTGCTAGTACATCTTGTAAACTTACTTATTAACTTACGTCTTGTTACGCCATAACTTTTTTTACATTACAGCAGACAAATATTTAGTGCACAGCAATAACGTGTAATGGATGTTTCGCCGACCTCTGACCCCGTGAAATTTCATCCTATACCTTTCTAATAAACACATTAGTATTGAATTGGTATAAATATTCTTGTAATTTTGAACAGACATATACCAGATAATTTCTTTATATTTCATTGTAGTCCTTCGGCTCTATCTTAGGACAGACAAAAATTTGTGGTAGCGTCCGCGTCATGTTGTAAATATATATTACATTTTCACATATTAGCTGCGTTCCGGTTGTTACGTTTTTTCCAGCTCATCACTGAGAGTATTCAAGCACTCTGGATATCATATGTACCGAAGATGTCATACCCTGCATTACTTTTGTGTGCTCATAAAATTCTAACCTGCTTCGGATCTACATATTTACGAGAAACCTCTTTTTCTGCCATGAAAATAATAAAATCAAAAGTGCGCTCTCGTATTACTGACAAAAATTTGGAAAATTACCTACGAGCAACTACGACTGACCAACAACCAGATTTTAAAGTACTTGTGAGCAGAATGCAGACTCTGAACTCTCATGAGGAATAAAATAATTGTAAAATATTGTTGTTGTTGGATATAATAATATTTTTCATGTGTTGTCAAATTTTGTCATAGCTCTCGCTTGGGGAAAAGTGGCAGCTGCAAACTTACGAATGTAATTCATTAACTATGTTTTAGAATGAATAAAAATAAATACTAGAAGCATATTAAGCATTATCGGACTAATAAATGGTATAAATACATGGCATTAATATTCTGCGGCCCGTCGCATCTTTTCTGGTTAAAATGCGGCCCTTTTACTTGAAAAGTTGAGTACCCCTGACATAACGTCAACATCCAATATTACTTATTATGTTCGAAAAAAGGGAAATGATTAGATTGGGGAGATGTGTGAATGTATAGACACTCACAACTTTGCTGAATAAATTATTGTAAGGTTTAGGATCTGTATTCGAATCTAAAAGTACGATAAAAACAATCTCCTACGAAGGCAAGTTTAAATTATGCCATATCACTTTGAATAAACTAATAAAATTGCCTGGCCTAACATCCGTAACCCTTAAAAGGTGTTGCTCACGTAACTGTATGCTTGTTGATAAGAAATTACATTAAACGAGAATTTCTGCAACTCTGAGTATATTGATTATTATTATTTTATGGTGTATTCTACTCTGTTGTCATGAATAGTAGTTTACACTGATCACTGGTTTTTAGACCAAAATTCGTCAATAACTTCATTCACTCGTCTGACATACAGTGTGATATATCTTCACATTATTGCCATTTGTTCTCATTCCTATTATGTTTTAGTAGCTATCTGCCAAATCCAAAGAACCAAACTCAAAAAATGAAACTAATCAATACGAAGTGCTGTCGCATAACGAAATTTTGGGCGGATTTCAGTTATAAGTGTCAGTATCCGATACCGCCACACATGTAAACGAAAGTTAGGACAGCATACATTACACAGTTCGTGATTGAATCTGTAGGTCTGGGCTATTTCCGATGCTTTCTGCATTACAACCAGCATGCTTCATTCGCTTTATTATTTCTGACTAATGTCATATCCAACGAGCGTTGTATGGTACATGTATATATTTTGCAAGCCTTCTAAGAAAGACTGGCGTCAGTCGTTTTGTCTACATCAATCATATAAAATGAGGCTTTCCTTCAAGCAATAGCATAAATAGAAACTGATCGAGAGTGAAAACATAGTGAAAAAATAATCAGTTGATGTGAAACTACAGTGCCAGAGTGCAATAACGGCGGGTAAATAATGAAGGATTAGGCAGTTACAAAAGCCACATATTTGCCATAGAATTGTTTAGGTCAAGCAGCTTACAAAGTCATTTAGTTACGATCCTATTACAAGCTTAGAGTAGGAATATTTTAACATTTCTCCATATGCCCGTGAGCAGTTTAAATTACGTGGAATCAGGTGTCAAGCGAAATTCATCAAACCTCAAAAATGTAAATTTTGTCATTGACAATGACGAAGAAATGGTGTTTTTTTAGATGCAGGTGTGCATTTTTATATTTCTCGAAATCATGAATGTGAGCAATGGTAAAATTGGAATGCACCATAAATCCTAGAAATGGACTAGCACTGCAAAATAGCCTACAGTTGACCAATAGAATTGCCTATGGATTACCGACAATGGAAGAGTAATAATATATTTATGGAAATCTCATTTGTATTTACATCATTAAACCATTTCTATCGGTAAATCGAGAAAGAGAATATTACCTCCATCACGGCTTCACGAAGGCATAAATTTAGCATACACTCGTCATTAAAAAGTTAGCCGATTTAAGCCGCTTAATATGTTTCCTAGTAGTATTTCAGGATGCAAACAACAAATACAGTAGAATAGTGATATGAATCATAAATTGACGTTAATCGGTCCGTACCCGGTTATATGCAGCTGCACATAGGCTACTTTACATTTTTTATTGAACCAACGACATCATTACGTAAACGTGGAGAACTTTTTTAGGTATATTCTGTAAAATTGCGATTTTTTCCAGAATTGCCTAAAATCAGATTAAATTAGACAGAATAAGTTTGCTCTGGAATCTCAAAAAGCACCATGCTAAGGGAGACAAAAAAAGTATTATCGTGGAAATTGAATGTTGATAAACATACGTTAAAATAGTGACCTTTCTTCCTGATATAGTCTACTTTGACAGTTCTGTAATTTATATCTCAAACAGAAAACATACTTTGATAATCTTAGTTTATAGCGGTCTCAAGACACATTTGTGCCACACTTCCGTCAACTAAAGTGAACGATGTGCGCAAATCTAGCACGAAAGCCTCGGGCAAAGTTTCAATTCCGCATTTAATTTCTGTCTAAACATAACTCAAATGGTTATTCAATTCAACTTTGCCCTTTATTTTTGGGATTAGACAACTACTAATAACGAATATTAAACCATTGAAGCATGGCCTACATCTACTTTAGGATATTATTTCCAATCTCACATAAGTTACTGTTTAATTATGAAACATCAATCACTCCAGAAAGTTAATAAAGTAGCAGAATCCATTTCCTTTCTATGATAAGCGCAGGTTAAGTATGTCTGCATAATGAAACGTGATTTTTTTTAGCTGTTCTCCACGAATTTTACATGGACATGGTGTCAGGAGTCGCAAACATCCAGCAAGATAAACAATTGCGACCGGAATAAGTGTAGCAACGATTGTGCTTCAGGCCCACCACCTGATGGAATGTGTAGTTGCGACTATCGTCCCAAAAACCAGCCGTGTGACACAAAAGCTAGGACAGATAAAGAACTCCCAACCGAACCTCTGCCCCATACTTGCATCAGTAGGCTTTTTCATTTAACAAAGCAAAACAAGTTTACATATATATATTAAATTTGTGTGTGACTACAGCTTATGTCGCTACGTCAATACCAAGGGTTCTCAAATTACCTCTAATCATCCCTTTGCAAACATTTAAAGTGAAGCCCGTATACGACGAATGGAGAGAAAGTGGCTTTGTGCGAAGAAGTAATTACAGGGTAGAATGATATCCGCAGACATAAATTCGACTTCGGGGAAGTATTTTAATTTTGCGAATCACCAAACGAAAAAATAAAGGTTGAGAACCCCTAGTGTAATGAAACCAGTATCAAATTTATAAAGAATGATACTTTTCGCTTGTATAATCCAACCCCTTTGCTGGTTAAATTCACCTCACGAGGGATAAATTCACAACCAGTTGTGAACCCCTGGTCTATATACTAGCCCATTCGTTTAACATAGGCAGTTAACACTGGCAGTTTCTACCCCGCTATATGACAATAATCAAAGACGTTTTCAATTTTAGGTCATTGTAGTTCCGTTTAAGAAATGAAACAATAAATAACGAAAATATATACGTATAGAACCGAAAAATAGTATTTTTTCACACCAAAACTGGAAAATATAACATGTTCTACTCAAATTGCTTTAATTTGTACGCGAGGAAGTCGGTAAAAATAAAGATAATGGACATTCTGACCTATGAAATAGTTGACTGCAGGTTAAAAGTCGTCAAAATTGCATTTCAAATAATTTCAATATATTTTTTTCTACTAATCAAACATATTAAATAAATCAATTGAATCCGTCTGATGACAAAGTGCTATAAAGGCACGCTTTGATGGCAAAAAGTCAAAGTGTCAAAAAAGTAGCAGCAGGGTTTTTATAGTAAAACTGCTATTAGTTAAGTTTAAATGTTCAGTTGTAGTCGTAGTTTTATCATGTGCCACCAGACTTCAAGTAATGTAACAGTGATTTTATTTAATCTGGGTTAAAGGAAGTGTAAATTCTTGAAACAAATGCTGTTTGACTACATCACCGCTATACAATATTATCATATACAACCAATGGCGGGAGACGTAGGTCGAGAAATCTTGATAAAATAGACAGAAAATATTTATGCTCTGTTAATCTTGGTTTCATACATCCAACTAGGCGACTTTATCAAGAAAAAAATTCAAGAGTATGAAACAAACAAAAAACACCATTTAAGTCAACTTAATGAGAAGTAACATATGCACCAGAAACACAATTTCTTTGTTTCTAGAGATGTAGAATTTCATAGATAAAGACAGTTGATCATTGTTGGCACAGTATCAGCAGAATATTTTTGCTCGAAGGAGTTCCTAAGTAGAAAGAAAGTGCACATAAATGACAACTGAATTAGCAAGTGGAAGACTAAAAATTTCATTGCTTTGTGATATTCCCATCAACTTGTGATTAATAAATTCAGTTTCAAGTATTATAGTTAAATCCTGACATGACAGAAATTATGATTTCATTGTGAAAATAGTCAATTTTACCAAAGAAAATTTTCCAAAATCACTAATTTCCTGGTTTTGCCTCCCAATTTCATATTTCTATTTAAGTTGTAACCAATGCAAAGCGAGCATGGTGGTTACGACATTGGACTTGACTACGTGTTATAGACAGGGTTTCTGATAAACTACCGTACTTATCCCTATACTGTGCTCTGGGAGGTCCCTAATCCCCATACATACAAGATTATGTTTGTCTGAAAAAGTTTCAGGAATATAATGTGCAGTAAACACTTGAATCACATAAAATAGGATCTAAATATATTGCCCCATCCTTTGAGAACCACTGTTATAATGTGTGAAGAGGTGCTTATACATAGCCCTGTTTGGAGTGAAGATATGCTAATGCCATATGAAAATAAATACACTGGTAATGAGTCTATGACAAATGGAAAAGAAGGCACTTTTGTAGTGAAGAATAGTCACTGTTTGACCACGACACATCCAAAACAGTAGTCAAGGATAATAATTGATGAATGGAATCCATTGCAGACAACTTGCCTAAAAGGACGCACAAGTGTCATTAAATATGGTTCGAATTTCCTGCTAAAATACTAAATCAAATGTCACTTAACATGAGAAAACTCACCTGATGAAAATTCTCTAGCAGCACTGCCATGTAATTGAGTAATCGCAAAGAAAAAACTAAAATTCCTCATGATCATGGAAAGGATTTCCACCGAAATGAAATTTAAATCCACCACCTCCGAAAGGATTGAAATGAAAACCATGACCATGATGTCCGCCACCGTTTTGTTCTTCTGGATCCAACGGATCGACACCAGAATCAAATTTTCTCCTTTTTTCTAAAAATGTAAAAATTCAAATAAACAATGGACCAGTCTTCAAGAAAAATTTGATCTATGACCAAAAAAATGTAAAAATATCTTACCTATAACATTATTATCGAGTATTATCTCTCTCTCCCTAATCTCCACATCATAATAAACAAAAAAATTTGACCAAGACTTTTATTCAAGGTAACAATAACGATAATAAAAAAAAAGATACATTGAAGCATTGCTTAGGACCTCGTCAGTTATTCGACTTCTCGTATTGATATGTAATGCTTTTTTATATAATTGTTCCAGTAAAAAAAAAATTGGGACCCACGCCAAAAATTATGAAGCAAAAAAAAAGATGTTTTATCCAACAGATCCATGCTTAAAAACAATTTTGGGAAACACTTTTTTTATTCATCAGAATCTAGGGTACTCCTGTAGTGTGTGTACCAGGTTAGGGTTAGGCCATAATTTTATTCAGTTTTTCCTTATTTTAGTTCTATCACAAGTTCGCTGTCTGTGTTAGCCAAGTGAATATACCTCCTGCCCATAGGCTTCAGTCCCTTTAAACAACTTGATGTAAAGTAGGCGAACAAAATTAGTTACCTCCATATTGGTACACACACTTCTGGAGAGGCGAATTTAGACCCATATTAAAACAAATATAATATCACCAAACTCAAAAACAGATCTAAAAAGGAAACACACAAATTATTCATTAAGAGTATATTACCAATACAAGCACACACTTGGAAAAACCACCTGACTAAACAGTCAAAAAGATAACATATACAAGTCTTCAAGTAACAATATTTTAGGAGAACAATGAACTAGTAATGAGTATGATAGCTTATTTTTGTTAGCAATGTCAGCTTTGAGATGTCGTATTTGGAGCCATGTTATGTCCAACACCTTACCAATGTTATATGAAGTGTAAGAATAGTTTAGAACAAGGATGATAACATCAATTCATATTTTATAAAAATTTACTCAGGGGAAACACACTTCGATGTAACAACAATTTAACATTGGGCATATCACAACTCACAGGTGTCTACTGAATACCAATGCTGAATCCATAACCAGAGTTGCTCTTTTTATAAAGCGCTGTTTTGAGTGTGGCAACCCACAAAAAAGGACAATTTACAGAGTGATCAGGTTGAATATCTGGTACTCCCATAGTATATGTACCTGTCTGTGTTAGTCAAGTGAATATACCCTCTGCCCATAGGCTTCAGTCACTTTACACAACTTGATGTAAAGTATGCGAACAAAATTAGTTACCTCCATATTGGTACACATACTTCTGGAGCGCCGAATATTCTCAGTGATAAAGTTTTAGTGCATGGATAAACCGAGATAAAAATATGCAATTAAAAATAAGGATTGAAAATTTAAAGTTCCTCATGTATATTTGTATACCGAGTTCTTTTATTATTTCTGTCGTTGTAAAACTCATCTTGAGTCTGTCCTAATTGAGCATCCATCAGCCTTTTTGCAATCATTTCCTGCTGTCTCATTATTTCTGCTCTAATATCTTGAGAGCTAGCTTGTCCTGTGTTAGTCTGAAATCGGCGAGCTTGGTCAGCAGTATTCCATTGTTCATTTTGTCCATACTGAGGTTGTGTCCACCTGTCCCTAGCTTGGGCAGTCGACTGTTCTCTATACGAATATTGAGATTTCAAGTCTTCGTAATGTTTACGTGAATTCGCCTCTTGTTTTAGTTCCTCCGGCCCTTTCACACGGACGTAATTTCCGTTCTTATCAACGACGTAAGGAATACCGTTCTTATCATGAAAATACGACTTATCTGCCTCTGCATGAACAAAACTACCCTGTCTAGCCCATGGATTGAGTCTCGGTGCCTCTTTCTTATCTTTCAAGACGTTTTTGTTAATTTCAAGATGTTTGACGTTACCTATCATTCTTAGAGTGCCATCACCCTTAGGGAGGTATATATTACCCTGGGCATCCAAGATTCTTCCAAGATTGTCTTTATAAACCCCTCCAGCTAATATTTTGACTTTCGGCTCAGTGTTTCCACCATCTTGTTCATCGTCATCTGAACTGTCTGCATCAGGTTTCTGTGGTACTGATGGTGATTCAACACGCATGTACCAGTTTCCGTCATTTGCTTTCACAAAAACATTTCCTTCAGAGTCTCTATATGTTTCAGGCTTTTTTCCATTTGTTTCGTCTTCAACTGAGGTGTCATGATCTGTGTCATCAGGGCCTTTACTTACAATCCATCTTCCATACGCATTTTTTTCATACCATCTACCATCTGTACCTTTAGTATAGTGCTTTGATTTATCCTTCTTTGATTTTTTTGCTTTTTTACTTTTGGATTTTTTTGTCTTCTTTTTACTTTTCTTTTTGTTAGTTTTCTTGGATTTACCGGCTGTTTGGGAATGGATTCCCTGGCCATCACTATCCTGTCGCCCTCCTGCGTAATTTCCCATGCGTTCCTGAAACTTGCGCTGTTGTTCTTCAAAATACTGTCTTTTTTGTTCCTGTTGCTTTTGCAATTGTATATTTATATTTCTTCTTCTTTCCTCTTCTAGTTCTCTCCTTCTTCTCAGTTCCTCTTCATATCTCCTTTGTTGTTCTTCTTTTCTTTTTCTCTCTTCCTGTAATTTCCTTTGCTGTTCCTCGTAATATCTTTTCCTTTGTTCCTCCAGTTTTCTCTTCTGCATTTCAATCATTTGTCTTCGTTTTTCTTCTTCCATTGCCCGTTTCCTTCTCATTTCTTCTTCATATTTCTTTTGTTCCTCTTCTTTCCTTCTACGTTCCTCTTCCATTTTTCTTTGTCGTTCCATTTCAGATTTTTTCCTCATTTCTTCCTGCTTTTTAAATTGCTCTTGTTCTTCTCGTCTCAACTTTTCCTCCTTCCTTCTCCTGCTTTCCTGGAGAAATTCTTCATCTTCATCATCGTCTTCTGTTTCAACATCTTTTCTAGTCTTTTTCCCGAATGCTTTCAAAATATCCTCAAATGGTTTTTTGTCAGCTTTCTTCCCTCCAGAATGGAAAAAAAATTTGAAGACGTTGTTTATATCGCCAGGGGATTCTCCACGTTCCCATTGTTCAACGTCGTCACGATCTAATGGGTCGTATCCAGCAAGATAGATTCGGAGTTTGTCTGCAGAAAGAAAAAAACATACATTTCAAGTAACGATCAAAATATAGGAAAACACAAAATTACAACGATAAGCATATAGATGTTACCAATGTAGCATCTATCTCATAAAATGACTGCACTTCCTTTGGAGGTATATATTTTTTACAATGACAATTTTTTTTACATCATGAAGTTAAAATAGTGAAGTATTTCTTCTAAGACAAAATGACTACTCATCTAATCCTAGCCTATTTGAGAACTATATAATGAAATAGTATGAAAATATAAAGTGTTACCTTTTTTATCTCCACGTCTACAATCACAACAAGAAAAGGAGTCATCCACAATTTTTGCAATAGAAAAATTGCACACCGCTCTGCTAAAACAATTTGCTCCTACTAAATTAATATCTACTTCCTTGTAGTTTCAACAACCATATGCTTTGAAAAATATAACATATGTATGTATTATATCACTACAAGTCTACGACTACAACCTACAAGTACAACATTTCTGAAGTAAATGCCGAAACTACAAGATGAAGTGGTCCAACTATGCTAGCGGCCCCAGTTGGGTCTTGGGATATACCCCATAGCCAACAACTTGTATAAGCCCAGTATGTGATAAATGTAGTAGTGTGGAATGAGAAGCTAAAAATTTCATGTCTTTCCAGATCTATAGATTATTTTTGCACATTAGTGGGTGTAAAGATTTGTTGAGAACAAATTTAATGAAACATGTAAGACAATTACTTTCTGCCATGTTACCCAAAGAAATTCGATTATAATACTGCGCGGGCCACTTAACATGGTATTATGTTCTAGTTTTGCTAAACTGACTACAGGTTAATAAAAAAAAAACAATACCCTCACAGCAAACTTTCACATGAGAAATTCTCGCTTTTCAATAAAGTCATTATTTTTATCACTTTGGTTTGTACAACTCTGACAGACAGAAAATTATATTTTTTGGCATTTCTGCCAAAACAACATATCTAACAGTACCCTTTAAACATTTAAATGGGTCTGGTCCATCAATTTTCTCTAATTCCACAAGTTTAGTTGGGCTGGGAGGGCATGCATAAATGCATTATACTGTGTTTCCCGTCCATGTGTATTGACACCTTTTATATCCGTATAACACTAATATAACAAAACTTCAATAAATTAAAGGACAGAAAAATATGTTTTAGTGAAGCCTATGCTGCTTGATTGTCATTGATTAATTTCATCAGAAATGACTTAAGCAAACACCGCTGTTTGACTATGTCATATCAATTGTTATGTCTGATGAAGTTTAGCCTAATGACCTAACAAAAGCTATAAGCCGATTGCTATAACAACTCACATTTAAATCTACTGGCTGTACTTTTATTTAGCTATACTGTTTATACCTTGGATATAAATACAGTATATTGAGTTCTAAACGAATACAAATCTACGGCACCAACCAGGATCAGTTAAAACTTCTTTTGCAGCAGCAAGATCAATAAATTTCGATTCTGCTGATTTTTTCTCTTCTTCTGTTTTAAAATTATCAGGATGCCATTGACGGGCTAAGTTTCTATATGCTTTCTCAATTTCACGTTTCCTTGCATTTCTGGTAAAAAAAAGTTATATTGATGTCTTAATTGAATTGAACTCATATAGCAAGACTCTGACAGAGTCAAAACGAAGATATCACTGCAATAACTGCTGATTATAACAGAAAATAGTAATTATACATGGTAATTTGATTTCCACATTCTTGCATAGAGTGCACCAAGATTCCTAAACCCTATTTTTAAATTTGAACGTTGTTCGATAAATAAATAACGTGTAACTTTGTGGTACACATGCCTCTGAAACTCACTTATTGTATGCACTGTCAAGGGGGTGTCTTATAGATGGTGGGACACCGCTTAGCAGAGGAGTTCCAATGCAAAAAACAAAATTCATTGTTACAAGAACACATCAAACCCTTGTTACCTTGAAACTCCCAAAATTTTATAATAATCCCTCTTTTGAGATTGTTTCAATAATTTTTGAGCTTGCTTAATTTTGTCATTTAAACCTGGATAATTTTCATCGATTTGACTCGCCTCTTGTAAAATATCAACGGCTGAAAATAGAAAAATAAGAAATTTTATAATTGAGTATGGAAAAAATATTTTATGAATATTGGTCGAATTTCTTGCCACGTGATTAAATAGAATATTTTGGGAAGTTCTTCTCATGAAACAATGATCAATGAAATCGTACAAGCTACAAATTTGCTTATGAACGCAGGACTGTTTAGTTAAAGATTTAAGAATTTATACTACATGGGAGACAAAATTGTGTGATAAAGCCACTTGGCTATCTGATTAAAATTGCCTATAGGGTTGTATGAACATTGAATTTATAGGAACAATATAGAAAAATGAAACCTCTGAAATTGTGTTCAAGAAGACAACAATATAACTTATAAAGAGATTAAAACGGAGATGCTCTCAGCTTAAACAAAGATAACATGCAAATTGCATTTTTCGTATAGACTAGGGATGGCAAACCACTATCCTGTGTGTCACAAAGTGGCCCAGAATGTTTTTCCGGTAACCTCCGAAGTCCACAACAGCTAGTTTTTGAGTAATGAAAACTTTGATTAATATCTATAACCCACCGTCTCCAATTACACAATAAAAACATAATTTTTGTCCTATTTATTACAAAACGTTCGCCATCCTTGATATAGACCGTATATTTAATATAAAGTATATTTAAGTAGCAATAAAGTGAAGCAAACATACCTTCTTGATATTGTGAATTTAATGTATAAGCTTCCGATATTAAAAATATAGCCGGTATATTGTGGCTATCATATTTTAAAACATCTTTACATGCAGCTAAAGCTTCAATAGGTGATGCTTTCTGTAATATAACAAGAGTTTTTGATACTGATTAATAATGCTTGCATTTTAGGGAAAGGTGGATAAAATAATATTCATTTGTGTATCAATTGTAAGGTGTTTGCCATTTGATATTGTCAGTATATTTTCACAAATAAGCATTTAATACTATAGAATGAAATGCAGAACATATTAGGCTCTTAAGTTCAAAAATATTCGTGACAAATGTATAAAAATAATGAAATTTGGGGTCAAAATTTTTTAACCAAACCTCTCAGTACACTAACTTACAGAATTGTCTAAATACAAATTGTGGAAAAAAATATCACAATACGTTGATTATGGGTAATCTCAGTTACTAAAACTTTCCTATTACAACACTTTTCATTGGCAAAAAAAAGTCGCCTACTTTTACATAACTTTCGCATATTCTGAGTTTTATTTCGAGATTAAATGCTGGAATTCTTGGTTCCTGTTGAAGAGCTTTTGTAAATTTACCAATAGCGTCATCCCATCTAACAAAAAAGATAAATTTGTAGATTAATATAAAATTTTCCACACATTTCAATGCACAGGATAAGTGCTAAAGGGCAGTAATAAAAGCAGTAGTTAAGGACGATTGCTCTGTGCTTTTTTCCATTTCACATAATTTTCCTCAAATATATTTACTCTTCATAGATTTAAACTAAATTCAATAGATACGCCGTGAGAAAACAGTCGCACATATGTCTAATACAATCTGAACGATAGAGTGATCGGAGACCGCCGACTTATCGATCTTGCGCATGTTCCATATTTTACTCGACAATCAGGGCATTGTTAGGCAGTTGGGGGATCCCAAAAAAAAACTGCGGTTTCGATTCCTTTGCTCTGACTCCATAGCGACATTGCGTGTTCCATCACTAATTAATTAATAACTCGGTAATTATACGACATAATCCAAAATCAATAGGCTTCTGTTCAGAGATATGATAAATGCACATGCAAAATTTGGAGCAGATTCAATCTCGCTTTCGTGAGATATCGCGTAACATACGAAAGTGTCTAACAGACAAACAGGAAAATACCTAACAACATATTTACCGACCGAGATCGATAAATAATAATCTTTCATTATATAGAACAACGATAGGCAACCTGCGGCTCTTTATTCACGCAGCTCTGGCTGTTGTGAATCAAGTGGTTGCAGCAGTTTTTTGTTAGAAGCAGTAGGGATTCAATAAAAAAGGGAGGCATAAAGCTAATAATGCTAAAGGTTGCAGACCCATGATATAGAACATTTAAATTACCAGTAGTATTTCATCTTACATCGCAGGTTTGAATCGGGGGTTCAAATTCTATGGCCACCACCTCACCCATGGTGGTATAAATTGGGTAGGTGCAACAAGGTCTTTCAAAATGATATTACCTATCTTTTTACTTAGCAGTGGCTTCATGTTCAGAACAAAAGTCTATAAATACGCCATATCAGCTAATTCAGAGCCTTATATTGAGTAAAAATGAAAAATGAACAAAATCTTAGTCAAGTTTGAGCTATAACTTAACATACCTTTCTTCATTCATAAATTTCCTTCCAGATTCCACAGTTTTGAAAAGTTTTTTTACATTTTTGTAATGAGCATAACATTCTTTATGATCGGGATCAAGTTTGAGACATTCACGAATTTCACTGTTGAATATAAGAATGAAAAAAACTAAACGATACTAAATGAATACTGGAATAAACGAGTAAATAAGTTTAAATTCTCAAAATAAAACCGGTGTACTTTGTTGCAGATGAAATATGAATTAGTCAAAATTGTATTTTCTTCAAAAGATTGTGTAGTTCGTCAACGTTTTACTCACAAGATAAAGATGAAAAATCCTATTCTATCATAAGCTCAAGACAATTCCATTAGATTTTGCAACTATTGAGTCATCGTTATTTCTAGTTTAAGAATAATTACAAAAATGAATACAATTTTTCGCATTAGGCCGTCCATCAATCACCATATTCCTATATTGATGAGAGACAGTGAAGCAACTTACTCTAACGATTGTTCAATATCACCAAGACGATAATACAATATACTGATTTTTAAATATCCAGCGGTGTTATCCAATCGTAATGTTGTGGTAGGTTTCAAATCGGAAATTGCACTTCTAAGATCACCGAGCCCTTCATGTGCCATCGCTCTTGTTTCACGAAATTCAGCATTCCATGGACAAGTCTGTAATAAGATGTATTATACTAAATCATAAATCTTGACGACATGCCCAAAAGATTGTGAATGAAAAACATATCAAGGGTGTGTGAATGATAGGAAACTATTCACTAGTTTTGAATCAACTGAAGCAGGATGTATTTTTATTATAAGCTTATTTAGCATACTTTTATCTATCAATCTTCATTATACCCTTTGTTATATACCAGTAAATAGAGAGGAAGTAGGAGAGGAACAAATGAATAAAATTTGGCGCTCCAGAAGTGTGTGTACCAATGTGGAGGTAACTAATTTTGTTTCCCTTTTTTACATAAAGTTGTATGAAGGGACTGACCCGTATGGGCAGGGGGGAATATTCACTTGGCTAACACAGACAGTCCACGAACTCGTAATAGAACTAGAATAAGAAAAATCGTAATGAAATTATGGCCTAACCCTAACCTGGTACACACACTACGGGTGTCCCTAAAATTTGGCATTCAGCCTGAATGTCTGCAAAATCATTTAAAAATTGAAGAAAATAAATTCTACATAATTTGAATTTCTATCATAACTAGAATAAACCGACCTCAATAACTTCTTTCATGTAATTGACAACTTGTCGATAATCCTTTGATTGAAATGATTGAGCCGCTTGGTTAATGTTTCTTCTCAGTGGTCGAATTACTTCCACCTTTGCTTTGGCATCTGCATTATCTTCTTGACTTAACTGGAAAGAAAACAAAGGGCGAATTAGTTATTGCCAAATGTCCAATTATACGGATATTTTAAAAAGCGGGAATAAGTAACAATTAGTATTTAGTGGATGTAGGTTTATCTACTGCCAGCAATAATCCAAAAGCAGATCATTGCTGATTGGGTAGATAAAAATAACCAATGATATTTAAGAGCTACATATGTGAACACATTGTTTTTATTGAAATATGTGGCACGTAATAATATCAGTTGTTAAAATTGAAACGTTCGAAATCGATCAAAGATCAGCTTGGCAAAAGTCAATTACAACCATCTAAAGTTCTCATAACAAATTCTTACCCGATAAATCGCAACCTCCACAGTTGAATGTTCTCAGTTGAAGTAGAAAAACACCAAGATAGGCAAAGTCAATGTGTGGAAACAGTAATCTCAAAGGGAGTATAGTATCAATACAGGGTGATCAAACAGAACCCAGGCCATTTGGAACATATTCTATAGAGAACATAACTTTGTGCAAGGCGTACTACTCCTAAATATCTGAATCTTTTAGGTACAATACACAAACGAAAGTTGATGCGATCAAGATTTATTTAATAAAATTTCTAATTTTTCTGAGAGGTTTTAGTTTTTGTGGTCACGCTGTATGTGACCAGAACATTAAAACAGAAAAAAGACCGATCCTCACCACTGCTTCATAATCAATCTGTGCATCATTAAATCTTCCCATTTTCAAATATAAATTTCCCCTCTGTAATCTGGCTTTTATAAAATTTGGTTGAAGACTGATCACCTGAAATCATAACAACATAATTAAAAATTATATTGCCGAAAAGAAAAAAAATTTCCAACTATGAATCTATTTACATGAAGTCCCTCAGAACCCACTATAAAAGATATTTGATATTTGTAGTGGATTGCCAGTTTTTATCCCAAACTCAAGCTTAACTGTAATTTAGAATGATTCAAAATAAATTCAAAAATCGCAAGTGATAAATCTATTTTTATTATCAATATTTAGTTGGGTAGAGTTAGATAATATAAGCTTTATTTAAACTTTACCTGATCAAGGTCTGGAAGAGCAGTTCTTGACCGTCCCATTGCTAAATACACAGTGGCCCTCATGTAATATGCTTGATAATTATTGGGATCATTATCTGGAATATATAAGATTAGATTATACACAGGTATTTCATGTATTTATATTTGTTTTAATGTTAAATGATTTATGTTTAAATTAAGTATTTCACATATGATATACAATACCAAAAAATAATCTTAGAAGACACAAAACCAAGGGGAAAATTTATGTCCAAAGAGAAACTCCGACCCATTTTAAAAACTACTTCAGCTCAGACTCCTGGTCGGTTAAATCTAATCTCTGACTATGGCTCCTAACTCCCTGTTGAAAGGCATTTCATTCTTATCCGCTCTCAAAATTTTAACATCAGTCCCCATCATAAGGAACCTGAAATTCCAACTTGAAAAAAAAACTTTGGTTCAGGGCTCTGACTTCAATACTAATAAAAAAGTGCCAAACTTGCAACTCCAGAGACTTGCACAAAACACATAACTACGCTTTTGTATCAAACAATCACATAGCTACTACATACATGCATAGAAAGATAAAACTTTCCAGTCAATACTGTACTTATTGCAATATACAAATATACAGACCTATTGAAGAATGATATTGTGTTAAAGCATCTGCAAGTTGTCCTGCATGAAGTAACTGATTTCCTAATGTTAAATGTTTGTTTCCTTCTGCCTTATTCACTCCTTCGACACCTGTAAAAACAGAAGTTCATTTTTGATGAATAAAATTTTATTGACTTGACGCATAACAGCATAAATTCCATAAGAATTTAGCATATAAAATGCTGAACTGTGAAGTGCTATGTTGGAAACAATAGTATACAAAATTTCTTTTTTTTATTGAATTTCCCTTTTTTGTCAACAAAATCAAAATTAGACTGGAAGTTGTATAAATCCTGAAATCCAGTTATCATGAATATCATACCTTCAAAATGTAGATCAAGTAAAACTAATAATATTGGCATTTGAGAAGCCAATGAATGAACATATTTGAGTAATTTTTCCTTCATCATTCCAACAAAATATCTTCATATACAACTGTACAAATAAGTCTGTAAGTATAAACTTTTATACCGTACCATAAACTTTTAGTCTATAATCTGTGTTAAAGAAACAAACAATTTTAAAAATCATATCTCGGTACCTACCGGTATATCTGTATATAATATAGTCTAGATATACCGGTACCCGCAGTCTACATACTGACAGAGCAAAAAGGGTAAGGCAATAAGAATAGGTACCAGTACAGCAGTACTTCTGCACACACAGACACAAGTTCACAATATACCGGTACGGTACGGTACCGGTACCGTACCATCGGTCCATCACCGCTGTCTGGCTGTTGACTGTCAGTTAGTAGACTACAATAGACTGACAGAAAAGCTGTTTCAAGGTTTTGTACGAGATAGATCCACTGACTATGGACAAATGATCTGCGCAACCTAATAGTTCACAACACTTCTGCCTAGCAAAAACTACTTCCCGGTTTATCTACCCGTGGGATACTACGATTGGCCAATAGTACGGACATAATAGTAAGGGTTATGAAATGTGATCGGTGAACCATGTCGACCATCGCAGGATTTACGAGCAGTTGAATGTTAACCCATGACCCCAAAATCTTTTTTTCTATATTTCACCATCGCAAAATATTTTAGGCTTACTTTGAGAGTGTTTTTGCAATCTGTTTTTTAAAAAATGATTGAATTGTTTATATATTTTTATATCATACCTTGGTATGATACTGAGTTACGCGAACTCAACAAAGTCAAACAAAAGCTATATAAGAAACTAATAAATAATAAAAACATAGATCTTAAACCACAGTATAGTGAATGTAGGAATCTTTATGCTCGACTGCTCCAAAAATAGAAATCAAATTATTATATGTCAAAATTTGCCTCTCATAAGGGCAACATTAAAGCAGTGTGGAGAACAATTAATGAACTAATCGTTAAAAACAAAACCAGTTCTTGCCCTTCTGTTGTCGGAGTATCGGATGTGGCTGAGTAATAATGGTTGAAACATTGCTACGCTAGTAATGCCGATTGATTGACACACTGGGAAACCTTAGCAGCAATTGCCAAATTTATTTTTGTTTTACCAATAACATGTTTAATTTGTGATTTCCAAGATAGATTTTCATCAAAGATAACTCCCAAGAATTTTATTTCACTCACTCCTTCAATTTCTTTGCCATTGAGTGATAAAGATTTTGAACAATTCAAATTTTTATGTTTATTATGATGGAATAGTATAAATTTAGTCTTGTTGGCATTAAGAGATAGTTTATTAACCAGCTTCAAACTGTGAATGTTGGCTAGTTCTCGGTTCGCAACTGCGAATAGATCTTCCAAATTTTTCCCACAGAGAATCAAGTCTGTGTCATCAGAAAACATGATTGACTCAGATGAGTTCAGACACCTAGGTATGTCGTTTATATAAGCTAGAAAAAATAATGGGCCAAGTAAAGATTCTTGGGGAACTCCGTGCTTCATGACACAAATATTAGGAGAGAATGAATTGTCATATTGTACGACTTGCTTTCTGTCATGCAGGTAGCTCCGGATCCAATTGAGTGCTATCCCTCTTATTACATTGTGCTGAATCTTACTTAGAAGGATAGAATGGTCAACGGTGTCAAAAGCTTTAGAAATATTCCAATAGCATGTTGCTTTCTTTCAAACGCCTTTGTTAATTTATGTACCAAGACATTAGCAGCCATAGCAGTAGAGTGTTGCTTGCGGAAACCAAACTGATGCGAATACAGGATATTAGTGCCTTCAAAATAATTTGACATCCTACTATACATTATTTTTTCAAGGATTTTGGAAAACGATGGAAGAAGACTGATAGGCCTATAGTTTCCATAATCAGAAACATTACTCGTTTTAAAAACAGGGAGAACTCTGGCTGCCTTAAACCTTTCAATAAATAGTCCAGTAGATAGTGAGAGGTTGAATATATATGTAAGGATACCAATAATATGTTCTGGAATATATTTCAAGATTTTGACTAGAATACCATCAATTCCAAAGCTGGACTTTGACTTCAATTCGTTTATGATGTTTTTAATTTCTTATGATGTGGTTGGCCTTAAAAACATAGATGAGTATTCTTGCTTCCCAAGATATGATAGGCCTAAGTGATTTTTATCACAGCTAGCTGATTGCGGCATATTGTCAAGCAAGCTTTGTGCCACTTGGGAAAAGTGCTCATTGAATTTATTTGCAATTTTTGTACTACTACATTCGGGTCCAACAGAAGGGCAACAACTCCAATTATAGCCCTGGGTTATAGTTTCGGATTTCTTATCTCAATCAGACAGCGATGAAAGTGATTTTGATGATTCTGTGATTGATTCTACGTATACTGATTCACATGGTGGATCAACAAGTGAAAACGATTCGAATGATGATAATGCTGATAACTCAGATGATGGTGTGGAACCTATGGATGCAAATCCAGCTTCGCCTTCCAACTGAAAAGACGTCTTTAGATTTACATGAACTACTACATTCTATACAAACGAGAGATTACAAATTTTGGAAAAACAGAAAAAAAAATAATCAAAAAAACTAGTCCATATGAGATGCTTCGCCAGGCTTCCGACAGTGAAATGCTACTGGTCACCTTTCATGGGAAATGCTGTGATCAAGGCTACGTTTTCTAGAGATAGGTTCAAGCTTCTATCCTCCAAGGTGTATTTCAACACACCAGAAAAACCCTCTGATGCTTCTAAAACTTTTTATGTGGAAGAACTTTTTTTGTGTCTGAAATCAACTTTTTCAGAGTATTAGACAAGACAGCGTTTTCCAAAGCTTAGACGAGTCAATGACAAAATTTAAAGGTAGAAGTTCTTTCACACAGTACATGCCAGCCAAACCTGTTAAAAAGGGAATCAAAGTCTGGGTGCGTTGTGACTCGCTGTCTGAATGGATACACCAGTGGCGGCGCGTCAATATGGCCAACCGGGGCAATGCCCCGGTTGTTTTTTCGGTATAATAAAAAATATTCGAAAAATACCTCAATATCGGTTACACAGACTGTCTACACTAGCCATATTCTCCCGAAATGGTTCATTTTTCGCTCGCAAAGCCTTCGCCGAACGTCGACGGGGCGACGCCGATTTTGCCTCGGTTGCTCTTTGTATATCGTATTCTCTCTTTTATCTTCCACTCGCCGCGTTTGTCTCTTTTGTTTTCTGTTTCTTTTACTAAATCATCGGGGCTAGCCCCGAAATTATGACAACACAATGCCGACGTTTCTTACAACAACGTGTTGACATATTCACGCATTCCTTCTCGTTCGTTGGTTGCTTGAAGAGTTGATAGTTTCCTCGCCTTCGTTTTTGTCGCTTGTTTCGCTATTTGAATCTGTTAGAGACCTTTAGTCCATTTGCTTACGATTTTCCACATTCCTTTTGAGCTCCTCACTTCTTTCCGGCTTCGCATTTCTTAGCCTTAGACCTCATAATGAATAAGGTTGATGCACTACTTCGCACTCCGTTTTCGCAGCTGCCGCTGGAACAAAAATTAGAGGTACAACGTCTTGGGCCTTATCAACCAAAAAATTGTTCACTGGAACAATCCCATGACGGAGGAAAGCGTCAGCGTACATTCTGCGCAGAAACTTGGTATAAAAAACACGAATGGTTGTGTTACAGCGAGGACAAAAATGCACTTTTTTGTTTTTATTGCCTACTTTTTGCTACCGCCCGTGACTCACGTTGGTGTAAATTTGGTTTTAGAGATCTTAAACATCTTTCCGAGCGTGCCAGGGATCATCAATCTTCTATGGAGCACTGGACACTGCAGTAAAATACCGAACATTCGGAAATGTTAATATTGCAGCACAGTTGGATGAAGGACGCGCGGTTTCTATTCGTCGGCACAACCAAAACGTCGAGAAAAACCGCCATGTTCTCGGTCGATTGATAGATGTTTTGAAGTTCATTGGTTGTCACGAGCTGTCCCTCCGTGGGCACGATGAACGGGCTGGCTCTTCTAATAGAGGGGTATTTTTGGATATGGTGGAATACACCGCATCCCTAGATACAGTATTGAGAGATCATCTTGATGCCGCAACTGTTTCGAAAGGGACATCTAAGGATATCCAAAATGATTTGCTCGACTCAATGTATAAAATTTATTTACAACATTTGGCTCTGGAAATTGAGAATTGCCAGTTCCTTTCGATTCAGTCTGACGAGACAACTGACATCACGTGCGTATCCCAACTGGTTGTGATTTTTCTGTTTGTGAAAGATTGTAAACCTACCGAGAGATTTCACAGCTTTGTACCAATCGTTGATCGCACGGCTTGCGGGATATCGGCTGTACTGAAAGAAGTGTTACAGCCTTACAACACGAAGTCAAAATTGATAGCTTGAACTTATGACGGCGCGGCAGTCATGAGTGGGTCGAAACATGGTGTTCAAGTTTATATAAAAGAAGATTTTCCTCATGTGCATTTTTTACATTGTTATGTACACCAATTTAACCTCGTTATTAAAAATATGTGTCTTGATACCCCTCTCGTCCGTATATTTTTTGCAAATGTTTCGGGGTTTTCTTCATTTTTTTCCGTTTCGCCGAAGCGCTCTGACCTCCTTCGCCAGATATGTAGCCGCCGTCTCCCAGCTTGTGCACCAACACGTTGGAACTTCCAATCACGCGTGGTGCAGGGCGTGTCCGAAATTAGGTCTGAGCTCATTGAGTGTTTCAATGGCATTCAGAATTCTCCGGTTTGGGACGAACGCTCTGTGAGGGAGGCGGCAGGTCTAAAGCGTCTGCTAGAAGATGGTGAGTTTTCATTTTTTCTCGCTTTTTTCTCCACAATATTCTATCACGTGGATGTATTATACGGCGCATTGCAGTCAAGGCTAATGGATGGAGCGTCTGTGCAGTCGTGTATTTCAGACTTCTGCGATGCTGTATCTCGTATCCGGGAAACAATAAAATACGACGACACATGGAGTGCTTCTTTACGCCGCGGGCAAACAACGCAGGGTTTGATTTTGTCTGCAAAGGAATGCTGTGACATTCTGGTGAATCAAATTGGCGATCGTCTGCGCACTGAAC